GGTGGGACAAACGGTATCCCACCTTCCACCGTAAAAAATAAAAGTGCAGAATTTTTTTCAAGCCTTAAAGGCACTTAAGTAAGTCCGTCTGACTTATTCTAAGGCATTTTTTAAAAAGATTAAAATATATTTTAAATATGCGTGTCGCAAAGGGTTAACAAGATGAAACAGTATTAAAAATATGGTTCAGAGTATAATAGTAAACTCGGAGCAGTACGTCGATCCTACAGCATAGCGAAATCTACAACCTTCCTCTTTTGAGGCTAACATGCAACTCTCTTAAAATACATTAACCCTTCTTGGAGAAGAGCTACACGTGCCAAGCACGCTCTGTTGATCACCAAACAGTCGCCAGATACTACAAATATGGAGAAACAAAATCACATTTTCTCTCTATATGTATATATATAATTATACATTGCCTTCTGTGTATCACTGAGTAGTTTAATTTGGAATCAAATGCACCTTTAAATTATCCCTTCATAAGGAAAACTATCTAAACAGTTTAGACAAGAGTCCCTACTTTTCTCTTCCTTTTGTAAAGGAAAGCCTTTCAGGATGAATCAAACTACTTAAAAGTGCTATAGTTGACAACAGCAAGGATCTTCTTAAAAAAGCTTAAGGTACAAAACCCCCGGTTTTCTTAACAATCTTTTAGGACTCAAATCCTCAACTTTAGAAGGTTGAGGAAAATATTCCATGTTGACATTTTACATTATTTAGCCATTTTGAGAAACCTGATATTAAATTTTCTAAAGACTGAAAGGCGATTACTCATTGCATTTTAGATCCCATTTGCTTGTTATTATCTAACAGGGTTAGCTGTATACCTTCCTGCAACATGATGAAACCTATGCAATACCTAAACATATAGTTTTTCAGGGCATCAGTTTATGATTACAGTGGCCCCTCTGGAGGTACAGGATTCCTGGACTGCTCATGACAAGTAGAATTTTTTCACAAATGTGTTACCATATAAAACATTTTATCAGAAACCAACAGGTTAGGTGAGCAGTGTATTTCTGAATCGGTAGTTGAACCAAATAGTAGTGATTATTGTTTGAAGAGCAGTTGGTCCTGTAAAAATAGAGATATTTTTGGCCTTATTTTTGCAATGAGGCTTATGAAGAAAGGCCTTCTTGAGGACCTGCTGATTCAATGATTCAGTAATAGCTGCTATGATTTTTTAGTTATATGGTGGCAAGATCCTCATTAGAACTCTTACAGGAGTTTTAACAATGTAACAGTAATAGAGAAGCTAATGAAGGAAATAGGTTGCACAAAAGTTACAAGATATTTAAAATACTTTTCTGAAAAATTTCCAAAGCTCTTGTAGATGAGTCAGTAGTTTTTAGCAAGGATGTCTTGTAGTTGAGCTATATATACTGAGAATATGACACAAGTAAAATGTAAAAGTGTATATGCTTTGCAAACCTAGATATTGTATATGGAACATACATACTTCTGTACTGTTGTTGGATGGTTGCAATGTCTGGATTAGACTATGCAGAAAATGTAATGATGTCTGATGGATACATTACTAAATGGAGAGCTTGTATTATACACAGAAAGTTACTGCATTTATATTCCTGTGGCAAATAAACTGCTTGAAAATAAAATAACTTTATGTGAAAAATTATGTTCCAACTAGAAATGTCTTTCAAAAGAAGTTGCTACTGTAAAGCTGAAGCAAGGTTAAGTGTTAATGTACAAAAAGCAGCACAATGTTATGCAAAAATGGAAAGACAACTCAGATTCCCTTATGCTAGAGATGAGCATTCTGGTAAAATAAGGATTAAGAGTTTAAAAAAACAATATAGGGTGTCTCCAGACTGCGTGGCAAACCAGACTGCATATTGGAATGCAAAAAATACGTGTGTGGTGGTGACAAATTTTATCAACTACTTTCTTACCATTTGCCATTTTACAAGTCATTCAAATGTGTACAGAAAAGTTGTTCATCATTTTGGATATGGCAGTATCCAACACCTATGTTTTGTATTCTAAATTTTGTGAGGGGAGAAAAATTGAATATCTGGTTTAACAATTAAATTATTCATTCATTGCTAAACTCTAGTGAATGTAAGAGTGCACCAGTTCCAATCTCTCTGTTTCTTACATCATAATCGCCAGGTATATCACAAATGGATGAGCACTATTATTTGGGCAACATGAGCAAAAGCTTCATCGTCATGGTTGGATGTCATCTGTCATTCTCACTGAATTTGATAAAAAAATCTGCATTTTGGGCAGAATGTGCACACGAGAAACAGTCCTGTGGATAGTGCTTTGCTTAAAAAATTTCACAGGTTGGAAGAATTCCAATATTTCATCTCATTTTGACCCAGATAAGCCTTGCATGCATGTGTGATGCATTCATTTGCTTATTTTATTATTAAGAGTGAAATAAACATGTTTTCCATGTATTTGCTTGCTGTAGGTACACTATATCAGGCACACTACAGCAGTGATAAATGTATTGATAAACTTGAATGAAATCATTGGCCATATTTATGATGAATATTGTTTTGATACATAATAAAAGTTGGAAATTAATTAAAGTCAAGAAATTCAGTTTTTTAATTGTATTATTAAATTAGAAAAATGGTATGTTAAATGACATTATCATAAACTCCTAAAAGAGAACTAATAGCATATATCCAGTAAGAAATTATTTTAACATTTGGTAATACTTTTTCTTTCTGCAACTGAACTAGTCCATGAAAAATTAATGTAAAACAAGAATGGTGTTTTTTTGGTTTCTTCAGTACTGTGTAATAAAATTATAGAATGTCAAACAGTTCAGTTTTGTTTTGTTCCAGGTAAAAATATAGAATGTGGTTATAAACAATTAAGTTTCCGTAAAGTATGTTTTTAAATATTCAAGCGGTAAAAGTACATTTGCTTGTGCAGATGACTGACCTAAAAAGCGACAGGCATACAAATTACTGCACCTAAAGATTCTATGAAGGAGGCTTGATACATAACTTTCACGATTCGAGAATAGTATCTGATTTTGGCTTATTGAGAAAGAAACATAAAGAGTAGTTTCATCAAAACGTCTGAGAGAAGTTAATTTTTAATAAATTTCATCCCCTGGGAAACATTTAGCTTAGCTTATAAAATTTCTGAATTTTAAGTTATACATTTTCAAACTTTTGAGATTTTTTTGGCTTTAATATTATCAGTATTGCATTTGCATCAATGCATAGCGGCAATAATGTTTATGTGCCTGGTCTTCTGTTTTAAAAATTAACTTGGTTATTAATATTCTGATTTTATTAATTTGCATTTTTTCTTTGTGTTTAGTACATCTTTACCGTTTGGATTCTGTGACAGAAACTCCTATCACTATAGCAGATTAAAATTTGAGAAATCTCTTTGATCAAATGACTGAATTATCATATTTTTTTAGCTCCATCTATCATGCTGTGTTAAAATGGATGAGAGTGTTTTATGCTTATTAAATGAGAGAGTAATTTGCTTCCACAATATTAATCTTATGAATGCATACCATATAAGGAAATCCATTTGGAACTAAAGGTGTTTGGTAAAGTTTGATCAAATAGTGTATGTAGATGGGAAGAAAAAGCATAAACTCTTTATATAAGTACAGTAGAAGTGTGCAGGATAGGTACAGGTTGAAGCAAGGCTCGATCTCTGCATTTAGCTAGGCATATTAAGTATCATCAGGTATCGCTAAATGCTAAGCTTCTGTCCCGGATGGAATTCTGAGGGACACCCGGGCTGGCTGTTTGAGGATCCCCCATCCTTTTTTCCCTCCCAACAACCTCAAGGGGATTTCAGCATGCCTTGCCGCACAAGCACTCTATGCATTCAAATATTCATGCTTTATCTGCAATTTGAACCCGGGCCCCTTGATATGGCTGTCAGTGTCACTAACCACTATTCTGTTTCTGTGTTAAGTGCGCCCAGAATTTCAGTATTGGTGATACAGATCATACAGTTAGTCCCACCATATTAACTGTATGACCTGATCCAAAATACAGTGTGTGATCACTGCATAAACTTAGCCATTGGGGAAGAGAGGACTAAAATATTATCTGGACTTTAATGGTTTGATGTAGTGCTTCTCAACTGATGTGCCATAATAAGATTGGACATGTTACTTAAAAAAATTAATGAAGTACAGTAGCTATCCTAATGACAGCAATATAGTAGCTATCCTAATGACAGTAAAATATCACTACAAATTTCAACATTCACAGGTAGGCACTTTAAAGTAATATAATTGGCTTCTATGCTTTTTGATGTTGGAAACATGCATTTAACTCTCTGAGCTATGTCTCTAGGCTGAAATTAGTTTGATGTTTAACGTTGTAAATTTGATCCTAAACTGGAGGAAATACTTCATTGTTTTGAGATGCAGTTGAAAATTTTTGTCTGTAGCATTTATTTTGGAGAACAGAAGAAGAAAAATAAAGTGTGTAAAGGCGACACAATTTTAGAAGCTTCCTTTGGAAATAAAATTTGAGTTCAGGTTAGCAGAAAAACATGCAAAATGCTGCTAATATATATCCTTAGAGACTCAAAAAATATTCTGCCTTCACTCAGTGACAGAAACATTTTTGGCTATATATATTTCTTATTTGTCTTTAGGTATCTGTATGTTTAAAAGTTATTTAAAGTAGCAGTATTTTGATGTATAAAATTGATACTCACTTTTTCACAATTTTATACTTACTTCTTGAGTTTTTTTATTCTGTAAGCATTATTTATGCCATATTTATTTTATACAATATTAACTTTATGCACATTTCTGTATATAAAAAGATGAATGCTGTAATTTATAAAGGAATAAATATTTTTCTTTGTATTTTCATTTTATCCAGTTTCATTAAAATTTAAAAAAAAAGGTTTTAAAAATAATAATTTAAAATGTTAATGTGATAAGTAATCATTGTAAAATATATATTATAACTGTGACAGTGAATGAGCTGTTAAATATATTGTATTTTATATACTACATTATTGTATAGATTGACGTTGCAGTAAAAACTCTGCGAGATGAACAAATGCAAAGCTGTAGAGAGGAATTCATTCGCGAAGTTGAAGTAATGGTAGGGTTAAATCATCGATGTGTTGTTAAACTACTTGGAGTTTGCTTAGGCCCACCTTTGATGATGGTATGTAAAATGTTTTGGTATGTAATGATGGTATGTAAAATGTTTTGATATGTAATGATGGTATGTAAAATGTATAATTGGGTGATAACTGTAAAAACTTGTCTAATGGTACTACTTTTCAGAAAGAAATTGAATTTTTTGATAGAAAATTGTGCTGTGTTATCTAAGGTGATAACATCAGAAATTCTATCAATAGTGAATATCACATGTAATACCTCAGTTGGAGCTGTAGATGATGTCAATGGCATTTATTAATTTTAGCCATTTTGAAAAGGAATAAACAATTATTATTGAGAAATTTTGATGATAAAATGGTCCAGGAAAATTAATATGTAAATGAGAGCATGGAGAACTTGCTCCAATGATGAATTTCAGTTCTAAATAGATTATGTACAGTTTTTAGCAGATTTTACTTTTATCTGTATTTGCATTATCAGAGTTCATGTCTGACCACCATACATAAGAACAAACAAGTGCATTTGTGTGTCCCTTCCTGAATGGGTTAAATGTAATTCTTTTAGAACATGAGATTGAAGAGAAAATGAAATAATGATTCTTTTTCACCACAAAAGACAGTACTGTGGGGGAATAGAATCATTGTAGAAAATATATGGACAAAACAGTAGAAACAACAGGAAAATGAGAGACAAATCAATAAATGCCCAAGGCAAAACAGGAAAATGATTAATCATTCAAATCCCAACATTTTTACCAATTTAAAGATATGGTTTGTCAGTCAGCTTGTATTTTAGACACGGACACAAAAGTGTAATATGAAAATCCTCTAATGTAGATACCATTAAAGCTGAATATTAGAAAACAGCCATTCTTAAAAAATATGGAAGAAGTAAGTGACTTTATTTAAAAGTTATTAATCACATTACTGTGGTTTTAAAAATACTTTTTCTGTCTTTTGCACAACTTTTAGGATGTTTCTTATATATTTCAAGCTGATGGATCCAAACATGATATTTTAATTTTCACTGTCACCTACCAATTTCAAGAGAACTAAGGAAACATAAATATTTGTGCCATGAAGTTTCTTTTAAAATTCACAATTTTTATATTTAAGTTTGACAACATATTTAGTTAAGCCCAGTTTTATATGAAGTTCAATTAAATAAACCTTTTTTGTCTACTAATGCCCCATGAGACATATTTTTTCCAACATTTTGTGTATTTTCATATAAAGACAATTTTTTCACGATTTTATCATTTGCTTAGAGAAACAGTATTTTTTAAACCTTATTTACAGGCTTATTAGTTATGCTGTAATCAACACTAGAATACCAGTGATGGCCTTTATTATGTATGTTATGAAGTAATATTTGAAATTATTATTAGTTTCGTTTGGTTTACAGTTCCTATAAGAATTGAAGGAAATTCATTCAAACTGAAAACTGCCCTTAAACTTAATTTGGCTGAGTAGATGAAAAGTCTTCAGTTGTTTTTATTCATGGATCAGGGTTTGGTCCTTAATCTTAAAGACATCAAATCAGAAGAAACATTTAATTTGCGAACGTTTATTTGGAAATGATCATGCACAGAAATCATTTACATCTCCTCAGACAAATGTATAACATTTTTCAAGACTTTTATGAAATCATATTATTCAATGAACAAGTCTCTAATATTTTTTTAGTATACCTTCTCTATAGTGCCTCTCAGAAATTTCTATAAAAATAACTCTTGCTCTCAAAAAACTTTCATCACACAACTCTAATCAAAAGCGAAAATTATTATTCTTGTGTTTTTTAACAAATGGAAAAAAAAAAATTGGAACTGTTGCTACTAAAGCATAAGTGAAATATCATTAAAACTATATGTTTATATGTATACTCTCTCACACACATATTAGATGGGGAAATATAAAGATGTAGTTTCCATCATCCCCCCCCACCAGCATCCGAGTGGTAAAGACGCTGAACACTGGTAGTTTGGTCCGAGGTTCAAATCCCGCGAACGGGCTGGCTGCATGGACGTTTTTGTGGTTTTCCTCATGTGTAACGTGTATACGAGCCAGTTTCCCTTAGAAAGTCCTCCACAAAGGCATCCCTCCCTTTAGGCAGATAGTCCTCGTGTGCTTTGCCATAATTCAATAACCTATTGAATAACCCATCCATCATCCCTCCCCCACCAAAGTTAACTGAAGACTTTCTTAGAACATTTAAGTCTGCTTATAAGGAATCACTGAATAGTAGAAATAACAAAATAAAATAATTAAGATAAATATTCGCACTAAACTAACAAAATGAAATACTCATGATAAAGTAAAACACAAAACTATTCTCGCTCTAGCGTAACATATATATTATATTATACAAGACAAACAAAATTCAACTCTAATATTATAATAAACTAACTTTAGTTTAATATAAACGCTAGTAAATACATCAAACTTACTAATCTAACCTTTTTGGTATTTTAATAACACATCCAAATCAGGTTTTTTGCGGTATGTCAGGACTTTTTTCCAGTTTTAGAGTCACCATATTCAGTGTCTATTGACTGTTCTATCTGCATACATTTTAGGCATAAAGAGTGGACTTACAGTTGACACTTCCAAAGGATATAACACTGAATGGGTCTAAGCAATTGTCCATTTGCAGTCTGAAGTTTACTAGTCTTGTCACTCCGTTGCCAGGAAGTATCTCAATGACTTTGTCAAGTGGCCAGTGTAAATGTTTGGTGTTGTTACTGCTGATAAAAACATCACCAAGAGCAACCTTGAAACACTTTTTGCTTTCTGGCTTTTGAAGAAGAGCACCTTCAGAACAAAACTTTTCCGCAAGTTACTTTGTAATTCCTGCCTGTACTTGATTCGTTTGTTAAGACTCTTATTAAGTGCATCACAGTTAAAAACACTGGAAACTAGTGTCTTGAGGAAAACATTTGCAGGCTCAAAGGAGTAAGTTCTGCAACCTATATTATAGGACAAGAATTGATAATTGATTCACAGTCACAGACCACCGCAGTCATTATTGTAGTCTGTGATTAGTCATAAATCACAGAGCACCATAGTCATCTATCATTGAGGCAGTAAGTGAATTAAATTTACACTCAATAAGATTAATAGCACTGTCATTGACTATACGATTCCAATCTTAAGTTTGAAGGGAATTTGAGGCACTTACAAAGTTAGTTGTTTCTATTTGTATAAAAGCTGCAATGGCATATTCACGTTAGCTTGCATCATGAAAGAAATACACTGAACAATGTTTAACCTCTTCTGCTCTAAAATATCTCATTAAAAAAATGTTTTCAAGGCAAATAATATTTCTAGCCCATCCAAATCAAGCTCAAAAGTACAGGTGTGTTCACTCCAATGGGATCAAATATTCTGTGAGCAGCAGAGAGGATTCTCTTCTAAGTAATTTTGTTAAAACATAGCTGTCTTATGCACATCATATTTATTCTTAAAATGCCAGGATTTTAATTCTGTATTAAATCTAGTATACTTTGATATCCGTAGGCTCTACAGTGTTGGGGTTAGTGTACTCTCACCCTCTAAGATCAAATTTTCTTTCCGCCATCACTTCAGTAGATATCTTGATAAATATGTGAATATCTGCTTCATTTTTGACATTGGAAATACAGTTGTCAACATAGGAACTCCTGCTCAACTTTTGTATCACTTCTAGTGGGTTTCCAGAGTGTATGTCTTCTATGAAAGCTTGCAAATGTTGCTGTATCACAGAACCCTAAAAGGTGCTTGAGGACACTGCAAATACAATTAACCACTTGCGCTATGACTAATCTTCACGGTTGTGGTGCCGTGCGCTACAATATAACAAGCGGTAAAGTGTCTCATTTATGCCGCTCTGCATCTGCAAGTGCAATCCATAGCTGTAACTCGAGAAATAAACAATCTTGTTGTTAGGCGACGTGTGCACCACGTTATTTTAATTTTTGTGATAAATGCCTATCGACGTGGTGTTCACGTCGCTCGCAGTTTGAGACAAAAGCATCTTGACGTGCATGGCACGTCTTTTTAGCGCAAGTGTTGGGGCTTTTTAAACTTGCAATTGCTGTCAAGTCATAAAAAAACATGGAAAATTTCTGTCAATAGGCAAGATACTTATCTGGAGGAAACCCTTTTGTATATCTGAAGTAACACCTGTTTCGTTTGTATGGAAACAAATTAAAGTGTTTGGAATTAACTTGATAAGATTTTCTTCCATCTCTAAACTGTCATTGAGGCTCAATGACCCTTCAGTTTGGCAGAAGCATCAAAGACGATCTTATTCCAGTAGTAATATCTTCCTTCACAGTGGGATGATGTAATTGTGTCTGGTGGTGGTGTAAAGACATCTAAACAAACAAACAAAAATTGTTTACATCACCTCAGATAAATATATAACATTTTTCAAAACTTTTATAAAATCATATTATTCAATAAACAAGTCTCTAATATTTTTCTAGTATACTTTCTCTATGGTGCCTCTCAGAAATAACTGTAAAAATGTGTTCAATAAACATTAATCACACAACTCTAATGGAAAACATAATTCTTATATTTTTTGAATGAACAGAAAAAGAGTTGGACCTGTTGCCAGTAAAATGTGAGTGAAATATAATTAAAACTGCATGACTATATTTATACTCTCACTCACAAATTAGATTGGGAAATGTAAAGATGTAGTTTCCAAGACCGTTATTAAAACTTAGTTTATTTTGTTTTTATTTGTATTGTATGTTGTGCTTGTGTTTTTATCTTTATTGTTTGCTTGATTAGCTAATCATAATAGATTTGTAATTACTCTGTGATAAACACATTTGCATTGATAACAGAGCTTCTCCTGCTTAAAAAATGCTGTTTTTAGTAAGAAATTGTTTATTTCTAAATAGTAAATGCATCATTTTCAGGGCTAGTTTTGGAATAAATAAGCTCAAAATTTTGTAAACTATCCATTTGTCATATTGGGAATATTTTGGTAGAGAACATTATCATTTGTAAACCTTTTACAGCTATTTATATAAACATAATAGTCTATTTATTTATAATTCCATCTCATCCAGTGTATAATAGTGTAGCTCAGCTTTATGAACTACTTATTTAAGATACATACAAATATATTATATATATATTAATATTAATATATATATAAATTCAAATATATTAATGTATATATATATATTCATTAATGTAGGTACAAGAATTGGTACCAATGGGATCATTATTGGATTATCTATTAGATTACCCAACTCAAATAAATGTTCAAGATTTACTTTTATGGTCTGCTCAGATTGCTTGGGGTATGACATATTTGGAGAGCAAGAGATTTGTTCATAGAGATCTAGCAGCAAGAAATATTCTTTTGTCTTCTAAAACACAGGTATTTCATTATGTTCACATATAGTCATAACCCTTTGATTTATAGTAGAGAACACTGCTAGAACTGCTTTTAAACATTTTTTTTTTTTAGTTAGTTAAGGTTAAACATTTTATGTTTAATTTATAATTTTCTGTATTGTTAGGCAAAAATAAGTGATTTTGGTTTATCCAGAGCATTGGGAACTGAAAGTGAATATTATAAAGCAAGCACTGGAGGAAGGTGGCCTGTGAAATGGTATGTATTTTTAAGTTAGTTTTTTAAATGCATAAATATAAGTGTTAAATATTCACATGCTAAATTGCTATGAGAATGTGTATATATATGGGGGATGTTAAGTTTTAGGTACTGACAGAAAAAATTAGTCATCTTTTTAAAGTTGTTCATTCTTTTGTGGCTGTTGATGTGTAATTATATAGTTCTCATTTTTATCATTATTTAAAATATAGGTATGCTCCAGAGTCCATAAATTATGGCAATTTTTCACATGCTAGTGATGTCTGGAGCTATGGTATCACACTGTGGGAAATATTTACATATGGTGAACCACCATATGGTGAAATGACTGGAACTGAAGTAAATATATTTATTTACTTTGTGAAGATTTTTTTATTATTAATTAATACTAATAAATCATTTCTGTATTTTACCTGTTATGTAAAATTCTTAGGTTATTCAGTTAATTGAAGCCAATCAACGTTTAACTATTCCTGAAGATTGCCCTGAGAAAATTAGAAGGATAATACAGCAATGCTGGTTGTACAATCCTGGAAAGCGGCCAACTTTTAAACAATTGTATAATTTGTTTTGTACAGATCCGGAATACTCTGCATTATGGGAACATTTTAAACTAGCAGAATAAACATTTCCCTTTAATATATATTTTTGATGTATATAGTGATATGAGAAACAATTTTTATTTTTGTATCAATATTTTATTTATCAAACTTGACACAAGACTGTTTTATTTATGTCATGTCTAATTGTACATACAGCAGAACCATGGTTATCTGAGGCTGTGTGGACCAATGTAACCTATAGCCTGTTCAGTCCAAAATTATAGATATAAATATTTTGCAAATTTTTGTTATTAGAGAATAACTTGAAGAAACGTAAGAGAGAAAGTGAGGAAAGGTGAGAGAGAAATTTATGATTATTGTTTTGAACTTTCTCAGAAATGTTCCTTAGATTTATTTTTAAGTGGTTCTTCTCTTTGCTGTGATGTTTTTTAGTGATCTTAGCATCAAGAGCACTGGCTGGTGTGTCTATCTAAAAAAATCATTCATTTGATAGCATTTACACCACCTATATCAGAAATCTTGCATAGACTTTCTTTATGCACAATATAGTTACTTGAGATATTAATACAGTTAATATCGTACTAATATAGTTATTAATGGCAAAATATTGTTATTATTATTAATTTTTAATAAGAAAAATTGTGCGTTAGAAGTCAGCTTCAGAAAATCCAAAACCTTAGTTACTCTACTGTATTAATTTTCAATAATTCTGAAAATTTTTTTTATCTTAATAAAAAATATATTGTGGCTTCTTGCTACATTACTATATGTAAGATTTTTGGCAGTATAAGCTTTGTAATTGTTAAAAAAAAGTAATGCTGCTAACTTTTAATATAAATATTTTTATATTCCTTATGCTTTTTTATTTTTAATGATTATTTGCCTCTCATTGTTGTTTTTTTAACTGTTTTGTCATGAAAGAAGCAAGTAAATCCATGTAGTCTTGTAAATGCAAATTATTTGAATTTTATTGTTATGCTTTGAAAAGGCTATATGCAATGAAATTGCTTTTCTGTGAAATACAGGCATAAATTATTTTTAAGGTATGATAACAGAGAATATCTAGAATTTTATTAACTGGTTTTTTATAAATGATATATCTTTTATTTATTATTATACAATGTATATATATGCTTTTTAAATTAGATATTGTTTTAAATTGACATCCATTGGTGTCCATATGCTTTTGATGTAATTAAGTGGGTTACAAACTATGTGTTTATGTAAATAACTCTCACTGTTCTAAATTTTTTTTAATTCAAAATGTCTTGAGCAAACATTTTCTTCAAATGATCTTTTGTTTTTTTGGGTTAAATGCTCTTCCTGATATTAAATTTTAAACACTTGGCAAAACATGTTTAAATATGTCTATTTTACATTTTTTTCTTTTCAAACCTTTTCGTAGTAAATAATGAAAAGTTAAAAGCTTAATATGTTGATAGTATTTAAGCTTACACATTTTTAACTTGGCTTCAGTGCAGTATTTTTAATTTCTATACCATATTACAAAACTGTATACTTTTGTTGTTGTTGTTGTTGTTTAAACTTTTCTCCTCATCTTGCACTTAAATTTCATATTGTTGCAAACTATTGGAATTAGTAATAGTGGAAAAAATGAACCTATTGAGGTATTATATAAACTTTAATATTTAGCATAGAGAAGAAATGCTGTGAAAAGCAAATGTTCATTGAAGTATTTGTTTTAAATATTAAAAATTTGTCAGCTAATTAGTACTGTGAGTTTTTACTTTTCATTTTAAAAATTTTTATGCTCTGTATTAATTCTGCAGTTATTATTTTCACATGAAATAGTAAAATGAAATCATATGAATCTAACAGAACATATGATAAATTTGTATTATTCAATGTGCTGTATATTCATTTGTAAGATAACTTTAATCTGATTGAGTTAGTAAGTTACTGAAAAACCTATCATCTGTAACCTATCATCTGGATTGAAATTAGAGAATATTTTTGTTTTTTAAATATGTTTTAGCCTATCTTAACTGTAGTATTTACTCAGTAAGCTTCTAAATTTTTACAGATAAAATTACAGCATAGTGAAGGTTAGCTTTAAGATTATTATGAATTGGAGAAAATTTCATGTTGCATTTGTTTTTTTCCATCTACTCTTAAAAGAATAACCATGTTTTGTCGTCAAGGGGGTAATGATAGTCTTAGTATCATAACAATCATATAGCAAATCATATCGCATTGATTGAAATGCCACTATCTTTTCAAATCAAAATTTGTTAAATGAGAGTTTGATTAAATCAGAGTCTGAAATCCAGACTCGTCGGGACTTTCACAATTCCGGATTTGGGATTTTTATATTAGATCATCAGTTTAAATCTAGTAAGATAGAATGTAGAAATTATAAAATTAAAAATACGAAATCATGATTTATGAAATAATGAAGTATTTATCATGGAGGTAGGAAAGGGAGGAGGGGGGCCAACCCGTGCTAAAAGTGAAGCACTGCTTTGAAGCTTGGGTCACCAGATGGGGGTGTTCTTTGTTTACATTCAGAAGCTCGCTTGACAGCGCTCTGATAGTATTTCGACACACGACGGTTCCATACAAATCGAAAAACGAGACACTTTCCGCATGAAGAAACATTTCATAGTGTGATGGATAATACCAATTTGCATAGTTTAGTTAATGACATTTACGCAAAAATCACATCTTGTCTATTTTTCGATAACTAACAACAGCGGTTTTGATTTTGAATTTGTTTTATAAAATTCTAAGCTTTTGAACTACAAAAATATAGATTTTAAGAAAAATGTTATGCTTAAAGAATGAAAAATACCTTACGGTACATTTAAAATTGTGTACGTCTTTTGATACCCTTGATAGAGTTATCTTGATAGAGTTAGTTATAAATGTTATCTAAATGTATAATAACCTTAATATTGAATTGTAAACATAAATTGAAATCCTGTTGACAAATACGTTATAAAACTATTTAAGCAAGAATTGTTTGTATAGGAAAGCAATCTGTTAAAAGGTATTGTAAAGCAAATGCTATGAGATGCGCACTTAAGAACGTAATAAAGAGTTTTGGAATATGTATTGTTGAAATGAAAGGTAAAAAAAAATCTGATAAGTATAATTAAAAGAATTATTCCCCTTACATTTTATAGTAACTCAGTTATAAGTTTTAAATAATACTTAAAAAAAAAAACTTATTTTATTCCCTTTCAGAAATTTTCAGAGAAAGTCAGTACTATTTAATTATTAGGAATTAGCGAAATACTTATTTAAAGTATTTCGCTAATTCCTAATAATTCTCTAATTTTAAAATGAACCGAATAGAGCATTAATTATAAATGACTTACATTTTTCGATTTAAAAGATGCTTCAGAAGCCAAAAAAATCATGTCATATTTAAGAAAGTATTTTAGGAAGAAGCTATATAAATAGAAAAGAAATAATGCATAATTTTAATATTAATAATACAATAAACTTTGATCTTAATTTTTGTACCTTAACCGAATAAAATCGAATTACCTTAATTTTTTTTTTCTAATGTAATTAACGAAAAATTTTGTGAAAGTATTTCATTCAAATTAAACCATTCTGAGAAAACTATCCTGTGAAAAGTATAGCATTTAATTCCGTTCAGAATGAAATGTTGTTTAAAAATATGTTGTTTTCACATACTTAGGACTCTGAAGTGTTGTAGAAAAAATAAATATATACATTTATATGTATATTTACGACGTAATTACAAAATATTTACATCTGAACGCGTCAAATCCCATAGAAATCAATGGTAAATGACCCAATGTTTTGGTCATCACGTAGGGATCGCCGGTGCTTCAGAGCAGGGTACGGGAGAAACCTGTTTAGGGCGACTCCATCTTACTTCCTACCTCCATGGTATTTATGATATAAAGAGTATCAACATTTACAAAAAAAAAAAAAGCTTAATATTTATTTTTTTATCTTATTAAACATTTCTTTCAATGTAAGTTGTTTAAGTTGCTTTGTTTTTTGTGTTAATACTTCCTCTTTAATTTTGTAGATAGACATAATCTCTTGTTTAGTTACATTGTTGAAGTCCTGTAACTGCTCTGTCGAGAATTCCGACTAACTTGTCAATCAAAGTTTTTTCCGTTTTCAGTAACTTCTCTGTCACTTTCTTCACTATCAGTAGTGGTATTTTCTGGATTTAGAACCATACTACAGATTTCGCCATTCATTAATTGATTGATGATTGAGAAGCATTGTCATCGAAATGAAAAACTTCTTTTATGTCATCTTCATTTATTACCGATTCTCCCCATTTCTTTACAAAATCTGTTAATTCGAAAATTTCAACATTGTTTTGCAATATCTGAAACCTTTAAAATTAACGGCTATCATCATCAAATGTAGCTATTCTTCACTATACATATTTAGCTATGCTTCATGAGTTTGGCGACTAACGACAAGTTGTTCTGTTAAATTTTATTTTGCTTTTATCACGCACTGAGACAATTAAGCCTGAATTTTATTAGTTTAGTTATTTATTATACTTCTTGCATATGTTTAAGGCTTATCAGAGTTCTGAGAATAAATAAATTCCCACATATACTTAAGCCTGATTGAGGGCTGGTGCTAGATATTTTAACGCCTGATGGTTAACCTCTATGAGGTCCTAAATTCTGTGACTCGGTGTGGCCTTACTAGCCCTGGTGCTGGTTCTGGGTTTATGTGAATAACAAATCAGTTATTCTTAATTCAAATAACTGTAAATGGAATCTTTGGGGTCTAGAAGTATCATCAACAAAATCTATTTTTAACATATGGAAAGAAATTTTTTTTTAATTTTTCCTCGTCAACATTTAACTTAATCTGTAATCATTGCCAAGCATAATGTCAACACGAAAGGTTACTATACTCCTTTATTATTCAATTACTAACATTAAAAAAATTGTTTAGGCATCGCTACATGAGTAATTACTTAAGTTGTCATATTTTAATAAACATGTGGTGATGAAAGGAAAGTATAATGCGTACCAAGCAGATATGCAGCAATGGAGCCAAATTACTGATTGTACAAATTTATGCTAAAATGATTGTTTCTTCAATAACAAAGTTATTTTATTTAATGTCAAAGTGAAATTAAGAATCAGGACTCTCCAGATGTTTTATTATATGCGGAGGGGGGAATAAAATGTGCATGCGTAATGTCTATGAGAAAAACAGTATTTGTGGTTTTGAGGTCCGGATTTTAGATCATTCCGGATATTGGACGTCCGGATTTCAGACTTTATACTGTATAAAGGGGTAAATTATGTAAAGCTTAGTATTATCTGTTCTTGTCATAATTTCACTTTGTCACTATTCTGTAGCTGTGGAAACATAAGAGGGATCAAATAGTAGGGACTTTATAGTAGTTCCATGCAAAAGAATTCCTAAAATTTGTAGGAATGAGTTATTTTATTGAAAATAGAATTGTAATAAATCACTAAAATAATTTCTAAATTTAAAAATTATTTCAATATTTTGTTTTATTCTGCATACTATTTGTAAATTTCTCAGTTATTACTAATATTGTCATGTAATTAGCAGTTCTACTTCATTATCTTACAAATTTTTCTAAATACAGATTATAGCTCTTAAATCTGGCAAAGTTAGAGCCTCACCACTGCTGAACCACAGAAAATAGAAATCATTGCTTAAAAAACTGAATATGTGTTAGTAAACATACACTCAATTTCTAGGTTTATCTAGTTAATTTCATTTACATATTGCTGTGATATCAAAATGAGAAACAATTTGAGATAAGAACAAATACTTCTAAATAAGGGACTGAAATTAACTTTTTCTGATTTTCAGTTTTTGCTAAAAATCCTAAAAATCTTTTCTATTTTTCTATCTAAGTCATATATAGTTTAAAATTTAGTATGATTGTACAATTGTTTTGCACTCGTAAATGTCATCTAACGTACTTCTTATTGGCGTTCTTTAAGTCATTAATACAGCTGTATATGAAAACTAAGAGGACTGTAAACCAAAAAAATTTTTTAATCTTGGATGCAATTAACTGCACAACTATGGTGGCAGGTGCTAAATTAATGACCATCAAATTCGAAATGTAGTGCTTAATGAGATTTACTGTACCATAGAAAGACCCCACAAGTGGCCTTTGGGTAAAGATTGCTGAGTACTGGTAGTTTGACCTGGGTTTTAACATAGGCGAATAGACTGGCTGCATGATTGTTTTCTATAGTTTTTCTCCCTGTGTTATATGAACATAAGCCAGTTCCTCCTAGAAAATCTTCTATAAAGGCACTTAGGCAGATAGCCATTGTATGGTTTACCATATTCAAGTAACTTAACCTGTACTACTGAAAATTTTTAAAGGTCTACAATAATCATATTAATTTTTATTTAGCTTTAGAAATCGTAATTTGTTACTATTACATATTATTTATTTTAGAAATTGTATTAATTTTTATTTAGCTCTATAAATTTTGCACATTTTCTGTTCCCAAAAGCTAATTAGTATTTTAAAATTTAAATGATCTTTATAAACAAATTTGCTAAGTTGTATAATTCTGCATTCACTTTGCTTTATGATGTTAAATGGATACAGTGTAATAACAAAATGTTTTCTTTTTTTTTTTTCCTTTGTGTGTGTGCATTATGTAATATGATTCTGTAAGAGAGAGATTATCATATGTTTAATTTCCAACAAAAATTAATACTTTTAATATATCTTAGTTTACACAGACTTT